TAAATTGTTTACGCATTCTTAATGAATTAATTTATTATTTCAAGATGGCCGAGTATTTTAAAAAATGATATTAAATACGAAAACAGTTTTATAAATGGGCTAACTAAAAGTTTTGATTATAAATGCAAAAACGACTTTGGTAGAAAAACTAACACTACCATACATAACGTGACATTATTGTTAAACATACTCATTTAGGTGTGGTATTGAAAATAGTAACTTTAATTTTCATATAAAAATGGTTTATCATGGATAATTTTTCCAAATAATGTCTGATTAGAAATGTCAAGTTACATTCATTAAAAACAAACACCAATACGTGCTTTTATGAAAAAATCAAGTTCATAGACTTATCTATAGCCAAGCCCTAAGGTAATTTATGTTGAAAATTGCATCTTTTCTATTTTCTAAATAAAACTACGCTTGACAATTTGTTATAGTCATTAGTTCTATCAGATTATAATCGTGGTTAAAATAATTTTTCCATACGTACCAAATAAGTCATACTTTTTGATGAAAAAACTTATAATTTTGTTCAGAAAAATATGAATCATGCCTTCATTGCATTGAGTAACCCCTTTGTGTAAATTTTTTTTTGCCCAACTAACGCCGACCTCTAAGAGTTTGAGGTCGGCAATTTATTACTGACCTCATTTTTTTTAATTCCGAGGGTTGGAATTAGTATGTGTTTTCAAGTATGTGAATTGCCCATATATATATATATATATATATATATATATATATATATATATATATATATATATATATATATATATATATATATATATATATATATATATATATATATATATATATATATATATATATATATATATACAAACAATTTGAACTCCAGAGGTATAGAATCTTTAGAGGAGAAAAATTTTGAAACTTTTAGTGAGACAAAAACTAGTTAAAAATTGCTGTTCTGTAAATTTATATATATGTATATATATATATATATATATATATATATATTTCGTTACTTCCTATTCGTTTTTTAGTATGACTTGTTATTCTTATAATAGATTTTGCTGTATTTTTGTAATTAAATTAATAGTTTGTACACAGATAATTATATTTTGTATTGGTATTGTAAAAATCACCAATATAGGCATTTAAACAAATTTAAAAAATTAACTTCAACTGAAGATGACTAGTGATTGTTGAAACATCTATTGTTTAGAATTAATAAAATGGTTTTATTAATTAAAAAGTTTGTCTTATTTATTAATATATATATATATATATATATATATATATATATATATATATATATATATATATATATATATATATATATAGTTTTTATATTTATATAAAGTTTTTATACTTATATATAGGTACGTGAGTATCACGTTTTACGGAACCGAATTTTGTGCTAAAATTCTGTTCCACGTTTTTCATAGTCTCTTAAAAGTTAGAGTGCTTGAGGAAGGCGTTGTGGAATAACTTTTTAGTATTCGTTATCAACATAGATTATTTTTAGAAAGAAGAATAGTTGAAGCATTAGTTCGATTGCTTTTTAATTATACTCACTTAATTTATTAACGAGTTTATTGATGTCAAAATTTTGGTTGTACTTCTGTGGTGAATTTAATGTCCAGGATATAGTCTTTTTTTTTTCTATCCATTTTTTTTATTAAATTTATTCATTTATCTATGCACCTGCCAATTTTCGTTGAAAAATATTTTGTAGCAGTCACCTTATTTCTTGCTGCACTTTAGTTACCTAATTTACATTTTACCTGATGTTGGCGCGGGAGACAGAGGGGTCCATTGATTTTTCTTATTTATATTTATTTTAAATATATAGTATTTATATTAGCAATATTTGACTTATGTCATAAATTGGTATTGTAAACCTAGATATTTTAGAATAAAAATATAATTAAAAAATTTGTACATTTAAAAGAAATTACTTTAATAAAACGATTTTTAGTGAATATTAAAAAAAGACTTGGATTTTATATTTGATTTAGAAATAAAATGGAGGAAGAAAATAAAGGTTTCATCTAGTATTTCATATCATATTCATAATAAGAATTAGATGTGAATTAAATTATTGATGAATCATATCTAATTTGAAGATTGAATGTTGTTTTTATTTAATAAGAAATATCTTTATAGATAAGTTGTTTCGATATAAATTTATTAAACTGTTTTTAAATTATCTGGCCACTATCTAAATCTTTATGTATAACTTAAATATTTCTTTCACTGTTTTAGATGCCCAAAGTTGTAGTGCAGCCGACAACAATGTTGTCGGCTGTACTACAACTTTGGGGATCTAAAACAGTGAAAGAAATATTTTTTTTTAACTAACTGATGTTGTCAACATCAGTTAGTTACTTTATGTATTCAATAGCTTAGTAGTTATTAAATAAATGCTATTATAATATATGTTCTATATATGTTCTATGTATATATATATATATATATATATATATATATATATATATATATATATATATATATTATATATATATATATATATATA